GTATAATAGGGACTACTACAACCCTTAGTTAATATGCTGTTCCCCTAAGTTCGTTTTTAAAATCTTTTGTATGTGTATGTGTATTGAGTCATTGAGTGTAAATGTATATGCGACAGTTTACATATGGCGCTTCAACGCGTGGCTTGCACGTACATACACTCATACACTTATGTACTTGCGCTTTTATATATTATACCCGTGGCTTTCAACCTGTGGGTCGCGACTTTTCTAGAAGGCGCAAGGTTGTCGCATTACTTTTTCAAAAAACGAGGCGTGGTGCGAAAAGGTTTAAAACCACAGCACTATATACACTTATCTGACACGTGCATTGTATGTAATTCAATAGCATAATATTTGCACAATACTGATTTTAGTATTTTCTTATTAAAACAAATTAGCCAAATATAGAATTTAAGGCAAGTCTATACTAATGATAAAAAATAAATAATAAATAAATATAAGTTAATTATACATTCATTGAGAATCTTCCAGTTGTTATTTCATACATTTGGTTTAAAGGGGTATTAATTTTCACAAACCGATTATTTTATTTGTTAGAACATATTTCAATAGTATGTATTGATTTTCATCAAAAATGGGATTGAATATTGATAATTATTTTATCAACAAGTTATTTTCACAAATATTTTATTGTTTTCATATTTTAATTACTTACAATTAGTGCTTAAAATTATTGGTCTTTTTGAAATATATCAACTAAATTATTTATAAACATTGGGTCAATAATATTTCACTGAATTTAGGGGCCGATTCTGCCGTAAACTAAACCAATATTATGGCAAGGCTATGTCACGTAGCGTTTTGCATATATAATTGTACTAAAATCTGTCAAAATGCTACGCATTTCGTGTGCAGTCAGGCGTATTACACATAAAATGCAACTTCACTCATATGTAATTATGTCACATCACAAATATGCAGTTATGATAAGATTCTTTTTTGACGTTTGTGCGTTTGCTGGGTTAGGTTTTCTACATAGCAACCACATAGAATTTTGACAGTTTTTAGTACCACGTTCTATGAAAAATGTTATGTTACATAGCCTTGCTATAACATTGGTTCATTTTACGGCAGAATTGGATCATTATTTCACAGAGTTATGAATGTTTGATATTTGCGCTTGTTAAAAATTATAATTAATAGATAATAGATCAGCGCAGACTTCAACATTTATGAAAATAAATTTTCGAATGAACTAATTAAAAACGAAATTTCGAACACTGATTCATTCAATATTTTATGCAATTTATTTCAACTTGTAATTTTTTCAAAAAACTATAAGCATTATGTAATTTGCAATTTGTTATGTAGTGGTTCATTAACTTCCCGTAGGGTAAGTTATAGTAATCGCAAAAAAATCGAAAATTAAAATTTTTATATATCTTTACGTTTTAAAGGTTTTTGAACATTTTGGCATACCTTAAAAAATGGATGTGTGTATGTATTTGTGTGTGTGTGTGCGGATACACATTTTCGTCGACGATTTCGGGAACACCGATCAACCGATTTGGATAATTCAAAAAACATTCGATTTGTATTGATAAGGAGACGTACTGATTAGTTTTTGGCGAAAGTAGGTCTAGCCGTTCCGAAGATACGGGGCAAAAAGTGCCAAAAACGGTAACTCAGTTTTTAAGAGAATGGAGCGTCCGATTTTAATAATTCAAAAAACATTTTACTTGCATTGACAAGATGAAGAATTAATTAAATTTTTGGAAAGGCAGGTCCAGCGGTTATGGACCCTCAATAAACATATGTTAAAAAAAATGTCATTTGGCGGTCAAAAATGTTTATTGGACATATGTAGATCAAATTATCAGATATTTTATACACATTTTTTGTAAATTTTTTTGGGTTTCATACCAAAATGTTTTATTACGGTACGGGAAGTTCCAGCAATTTGCCTTAAAGCACCTTGCTATGCACCCTACTAGTTATCCTGGCAAATCAACTCTAATACAACCCTGTATCATTTGTGCGCGAGTATCCCCACACGACGAGACGGCGGTGTAGTCTGAAGCTTCAGTATATTTTACTGAGTCAACTTTTGTTCGATACACATCGGTGAAGTAAAAAACGCGAAAAACCTTAGGAATTAAACCTAATTTATAATTAAATATTTGAAAAGAAGTTGTTTTTGTGATATTTAAGTGAATTGTGATGAAAATGGAATATGTAAATTTTGATCTATATTACTGGTACGTTTATTTTTTATGCTTGAATTTCTTTTCTGTATATTTATATTTAAAGCTTTATAATAACACACTTCTCATATGTTTATTTTAAACTAATTAATATTTACGTTTATTACTAACATATTGTAAACTGAAACAAATGTGAATATTCTTTGATGAAACAGAATGAAGACTTTAATATATATTTATTTATATTATTATTACTTATTATTATTTTAATTATTATTATTTTAATTGTTATAATTATTATATTATTAAAATATTCATGTGTATATGCTTTTGGGTAATGAACAATATATTGTGAGGTTAAGGTGAATAATCTTGAAACAAAATCGATAAAACGTGAGACGCCTCTTCATGCGCTTGACATTGCACTTACACACACCTAACTTTATGCTAAGGCAAATTGCTAAAAGTTTCCGTACCAAAAATTAAATTTATAAAGTTTTGATATATTTTTTATGTCCTAAAATTTTTTGAAAAATTTGAACCTTTCTTCGAAGACGAAAGTTAGAAGCGCGTTAGCGCCGCGTCCCAGTCTAACGGGTAAACATTGGTACGAAACTAATAGAAATGTAGACAAAATTTGTTATTATCATTAAAATGTGCATATGTTTTATGATCATTTTTGACATCCAAATGGCTTTTTAACTTCCCGTAGGATAAGTTATAGTAATCGCAAAAAACCGAAAATGAAAATTTTTATATATCTTTACGTTTCAGAGGTTTTTGAACATTTTGGCATACTTTAGAAAAAATGAATGTATGTGTGTGTGTGTTTGCAAATTTTCGTCGACGATTTCGGGACCTTTCGGGATCAATCGATTTCAATTATTTAAAAAACATTCGATTGCTGTTGACAAGGAGAAACTTTGGATCCGCACACACACACATATACACACACATACATCCATTTTCTCTAAGGTATGCCAAAATGTTCATAAACCTCTCAAACGTAAAGATTTTTTTTCGCATAGCTTTATTGCCAATCAAACGTAAAGATATATAAAAATTATCATTTTCGAGTTTTTTGCGATTACTATAACTTACCCTACGGAAAGTTGAAAAATATTTTCCATAAAAATGTAAACTACCCATTGAAATGTAAACAAAACTCATACTTATTATTAAAATCTCTGAAAAACATCTTTTTTCATTGGATCTCCGGAACCGCTGGACCTGCCTTTACAAAAATTTCTTCAGTTATCTATTTCGTCAATACAACAACAATGTTTTTGAATCATTTACATCGGATGCTTCTGCCAAAAACCAAATCAGCACGTTTCTCCGTCAGTAGAAATCGGATATTTTTTTGAATTATTCAAATCGGTTGATCCGTGTTCCCGAAATCGTCGATGTAAAATTATTTAGGCGTCAATAACTCTGTACACACTGGAATGTAACAAAAAAATGGTCAAAAATCATATGTTTAAAATAACGACAATAACGAAATAATGTTTAAAAAAAACGACATGTCATTGTTTGACATTGAAAATATTTAAAACATTGTTTGGCATTGAAAATAAATGAAAACTGTCATCTGCCAAAAATTTCAATTCACTCATGAGCCCAGACAGTATTAGAATATGTATAATAAATTCATGATTATGAATAAGAAAAATGAAACAGCTGAGATCTGCCAGAGATTAAAATAATACAACATACAGTATATGTATGGCAGATTGAGTGATACACATATGAACAGGATTTGACAAATTAAATCACTTAAAATATGAAATTAAGTAATGATCAGGGCCGATCCTACCTTTAATGCGAGCGCACGCCTTAGGGGGCGCCAACACAAGAATCGGATATGAAATTATTAATATATATATTTTTTAATATAATTCAAGAAACAGATAATTTCTTTGCATCTTTTACTAATCTTTGCACAATATTTTTAAAATACGTTAAAGTTTTCACTTTAAAATAACAAAGGGGAAAGTAAAGATGAATACATACAATTCAGCCCTTACGAAATTAATTGGAAGAAGCTTAAGATGCAATTTTGGATATTTTAAATAATAAATAATTAAATTAAAATAATCCAACATGAAATACTAGTGTTATGTTATGGTTATGTTTAATAATGAAAGAATAAGCAAGAAGAAATCAATAGAATAAATCACCTAAAATGCCCAAATTAAATAAGTAAAATGTTTCAAAAGCCAAAAATTAATTAATGATAATAATTTTAATAATAATCTGTTAAAATACGTAAATTAATAGGGGAAGGGGGCGCTAGAAAAAATGGCATGCGGGCGCTGATGACCCCAGGAGCGTTTCTGGTAATAATGTATATTAAATCATTACTTTGTAAGAAAAATGTAATTTAGATATTATAATTACTAAAAACCCTTAAAATATGATACGAGACTATAAAAGTTACAGTATGGGCAAGATTATTGAAGCAATTATTTTGGGTGAAAAAATCCAAGGAAATATTGTAAAGTTACGGCGGATACTATATAATAATTCTTTCTGAATTTGTTATACCGTTTAAAAAACTTTAATTCATAATATAGTGTGGGAATTGAGATTCCTCATTTTATTTAAAGAAGCTAGATATTTAACATCGCTCATATTGATGTACATATATGCATTTTGGTGTGAAGAGTAATTTAAAAAACAATAAGTATTATTTTTAGTTAAACGGTAAATATTAGTATAGGATATTAAAAAAATGGTAGATGTAGGTTACAGGACAACGTCTGTCGGGTTATCTAGTATATATGTATATAAATGTGTGTGTACTTTATATTATAAACACTTTTTATATAATAGGTACGGGTGATGGAGCAGAGACTTTGTGCTAGAAATGAGTCCAATGAGCCACAACAACCACTAATTAATAACGGAAGGCAACTCTCAGGAGGAATCAGCGAATGTAGTGCTATTGAATCACTAGAAACACAGGTTATATTTGATCAATATAGATATTCATAAATCACAAAAATCAATCAATTTTTGAATAAACAATTCTTCATTTCAGGTGAATGAGCAGAAGCAGTTACGGTTACAAGACGCGCGGCAAGTTGAAGCTAAAGCTGCGCGCATCAAGGAGTGGGTGACGAATAAACTTCGAGAGTTAGAACAACAAAATCAATTATTAAGGGATCAGAATGCACGTTGCTGTCATCAACTTACTTTACTGAAGAATCATATCGCATCCCAAGGTTCCAGATATAGCACAGTGAGTTCATGAACCTATAAAAAATCTGTCAGTTCGTAAAAGAAACGCGTATTTATTGCATTTCCTATTTATTTTTCTAACAATAAGTATATTTATATGAAATGCAAGAAAAATTAATATCAAAAAGCTAGAAGTGCATGACATCGTCCCTTAAGGCATTTTGCTGAAACTTTCAGGAACGAAATTTAATTTTAATTTTTAAAAATCTTTAAAAATTGTTGAAAAGTCTAAAAAAATTAGATTCGTTTGAGAATTTTGAATTGTTTGAAATTTTTGAAAAAAAACAACTTTTTTTAAATTTTGATTTTTTTTTTAAAAACTTTGAAACTCATTCAAGTCTGTTTACACTGTCGCCTAAATCGCCTAACAAGTCCAAGAGTAGATTCTGTGACTCTCGCGGCGTTTCTGACGCATTTTGTCTCGAAATTATTTTTGCAAAATAGGCAAAATGAATCCGAAAATCTTTGTTTTTTTTTATTTTTGCGAGTGAAAATTTAATTTAAGAGCTTTCAAGATCTTGTTATCAGTTAAGAAATGTCGAAGACATTTGTTTGAACTATATGAGTGAACTTTATCCATTCTGGTACGCAATTCAAGGAAACGCAAACAAAATTTGTACTAAAATATCTGATAATTTGCTGTACATGTGTCTAATGATCATTTTTGAAATGTCATTGTTTTTTACTTTTTTCTGGATCGCTGAAACAGCTGAATCTGCCTTCCCAAAATTTGATCAATTTCTTTTCATTTCATCAATACAATTAAAATGTTTTTTTGGATCGTTCAAATCGGACGCTCTGTACTCTTAAACACTAGATTGCAAGTTTTTAACATTTTGCTTAAAAACTAATCTTCCCATCAATAGGAATCAATGTTTTCTTAAATATGTATAACAAATCGGTTGATGCGCGCTCTCGAAATCGTGGACGAAAAATTGTATCCATCAATACATGCATACTAAACACATGCATTTTTTTCTGAGGTAAGTAATCCAAAACGTTCAGAAGATCTTGAAACGTGATTTTCAATTTTTTTGCGATTACTATAACTTACAAAAGACAATATATAGATCAAATCTTCAAAAATTATTATTAGCTCCTGAATAGAAATTCAGAATTATCAATTTAAAATGAAATACATATATATTAGGCGATGATCAAACCCATGTGGACCAATGGAATTTATCTTTGGGGTACTGCAAAAAGAGTAACTTGAACATAATCTAACGTACTCAAATTAAAATCATGAGGCAAATCTCAAACGCTCCTCTTTATACGCCAGCATGGATGATTCATTGGTTGCTTTCAAATATAAGAATATAATTGACGTGCATCTTAATGAATTGGCCTACCTGAAAGACCAACCCACCAGGTTGTAAAGATAATTGCCACAAGATCTCATGTAGTCCAGTTAAACCTAAATATTTTTATTTTGCTATATTTTATCGCTTTTTTCTCATTCTGTTTTGTTTATTATGTGTTGGTATAACCCAGTCTCTGCTTATTGTTTATAAAAAAGCAGATTGCAGAATAAAATTAATAATGAAAAATAAAAAAAAAAACTATTACTTACTCTTAGTAGGAAAGTTAATAACTTGCATTATCAAAAATTAATTATTTTTGGTACAAAATGTTAAAATTTTGAATGCTTATTAAAATAAATGCTGAATAAAATTTATCAGTGCACTGTCAGAAAGCCTGAGATTCTAAAAATCTTAAAAAAAAAAAATAGAATTTTAACCTTGAATTTCTTATTCCTAAAAAATTGATTTCAAACAAGCATTTATTAATAAATATAATTTTACAGGTACCAACTCGGTCGAGTATCACTAGATTAGAAGCAACTTCTTCTGGTACACATTCAACTGGTCATTCACCATCTGCAGTTAGGCGGAGACTATCAGAGACTCCAGATACAGTATTGGCAGGAGGACAATCTTATGATTCCAACATGCATAACATTCAGGTAGCAGGACACCGAAGAAATTGTTCCACAGGAACCGACATGAGCCATTCACTTGCACAAGATTTAGCAGTAAGTTGTTTAGATGACTCTCAGGAAGATTCCTAAATTATCAGAATAAGATTTTAAGTTTAAGGCAACATGCATATCAAATATTATACATATTTTCTGTCTATACTTCATAATTAGTTTGCATAATTGAAACATTTTGCTTGAGATATAATTTTTCAGTTTTCATTTGAATGCTCGTACCATGTATATTTCTATGAACTATTTTTGGATCATATATCACACTGTTTAACCTATTATCTGCTTTTTTAATTTATATTTGTTTCTAATGTGCCTTAAAATGGCTACAATAAAACCAATTTTTAAAACAGGAAACGAAATAGATACAAATTACTACTGACCCATAACAATAACAAACACATTCTCCAAGATATATGAATAAATAATAAAACATAGATTACTAAATTTTCTCAATCAAAAAATTGACAAAAATCAGTACTATTATCAAACACTCAAGGTGCACTGATGGATTTAACTAATACCATAAGTAAGCACCTTGAAGAGAATAAGCATACAGTAGCAATATTTATTGACTTAAAGCTTTTGATACAGTGGATCACAATATATTAATTATTAAACTAATAGAGCTGGGATTAGAAGGTTTGTCACTTATCAAAGATTTCCTATCAGAAAGAACAGTAAGGACCAAGGTTTGTAACGTGACAAGTGACAATGCAAAATAAACTGTGGAGTCCCACAAGGCTTAGTATTAGGATCTTTATTATATCTCATCTGTACAAATAATTTTCAAGAGATAAAAATAAAGGAAAAGTACGTTCTATACGCCGACGTTACTGCCATAGTTTATGCAGACAAAGAAATGATTGACGAGGACATGAAATTATATTTGGAATGATAATTGAAAATAAATTAATGATTAACATTGGAAAACCAAATATATACATTTAAAAAAATGCAAGGATATTAGTAAAATAAAAATTAAAATAAATAATACAGAGATAGAAGAAGTGGAATACATAAAATACCTGGGCCTAATAATACATGAAAAGCTAACATGGACAGAATATAAAAATGCAATAACAAAGAACATAGCTGTATTAACAGGAGCTTTGAAATGGTACCACTCCTTTGTTAAAAAAATAAGATACTAATTCTTAAAGCGCATATAATACTTATAATTTTATATGAAATAACATCATGGAGCCAAACGACTAAAACTAACTTAAATGACATACAGAGAATAGTAAGCAAAGCCATAAAAATATCATATGATTTTCCACATTTAACACTCACCAAATACTTACAGACAGAAACATACATTCTTTGACTGAATAACATAATTAAAATAGAGAAATGCAAATTAATACACAAAATGAAATATAACAGAATCAAAACAAGTACAACAATAGACATCAAGATTTACATGAACTACTTGACAACACGAAAATTTTCACATTGAACATAATAGAAAGAAGAAATTGAATGAACTGCCAATCGATATTAAGATGACCAGTGATGACAACAACTTCAAAAGGGAAATAAAGAAAAAATAAATATTATAAAGAAATTGGAGTCGAAAAAGATTGAAGAGATATTTAGAGATATATTAAATATAAGGTTTATTAATGTATAATGGAATATACATAAATGATATGTATATATAAAATATGAAAATTGTTTCATAATCTCCTATAACAGGCACTCCTGCCTGACTCAGACATGAAAATAATATATCAATAAAACAAATATATATATATATATATATATATATATATATTTAAATTTTAAATGATTTTAATATAATTCATAAATTTATTGTTTATAAATTTTATATTTATTTATAAATAATTTAAATTTAATTAAACTCTTTCAAAATTAAATAATTTAAATTAAATTTATCTAATAATAAATTTTATGGCTTAGTTTGAACATGCTTATGCATTATAATATTACAGAATAAACCCGAAACTAAAAAAGATGTTAATCATGCATACAACATTTAGTAAAAACATTTTTATTAATTCACAGGAAGCCGTAGATGGCCTGGCTCTGCATAACCGTCCATTATTGCCTGCAACTTCGTCTTCCCATTCGGATTTTTTACATGACTATGCTGAGATTTATACACCTTCTCGTGAAGATAAACTTCCTTTGTGGCTTGCCAACAATAAAGATGGCATGGACGACACCGGAGGTTCAAAGCGCGTCAGCTGTGATACGAGCATTATTGATACATGCATGCCTAAACCACCTACTCCACCATTGCATCGATTTCCTAGCTGGGAGGCAAAAATTTATCAGGTGAGATATATACTATAAAATTTAGTAAAAGTAGTGTTCTTTTCTAATATGTTTATTTATCTTGGTTATTGCACAGTTGGCGAGCGACGGTCTTAAACAATGGGATGGTGATGCTACTGAGAGTGATAGTCATGGAGTTAATTTATCTAGTGGATATTGTGATATAAGTGTGCCTGTTTATGCAACTGTCAAAGGGGTAAGAAAAATGAGTAATTATTAAATGTAGTTTATTGGGTGGTTACAAAAAACTTAAGAAAAATACTGCATCTACAAAAAATAAAAAATTATCTTAAGGAATTGATATAAATCTGCGAAAATATTATTTTTTGTATTATAGATGTAATTGTTAATTATATTAGGGTATATGTATTTTGGTTTATAATAATAAATTTTAAATAAAAAGTAATTTATGAAGACAGTCATTTAGTATCACTTAAGTAATTTGATTAGATAATTTTATTTTTATATAAAATTAGAATGCACAAGTATTCTATTTATTTTTAGAAAGCCATGTTTTTTGTAGAAGGACGAAGCTTAATAAAAGAGTGCACGTAAGGTTTACACGCGATTGAATAAAACTTATTTGCTACTGTACAAGATGGCATTTAAGTAAAAATCAATACATCATATGACAATTTTTAATAATGTTTATTAATAATATGTTAACACTTGTGATGCACATATTTATTAGTGTCACCCATTATACACATTTACATAATGATAAATTATAAATTTGATATTCATAATAGCATTAAAAAGATGTATAATATTTAAAAACAATAATGTAATTGAAGGCATACTTTGAATATGACATGATCGGTTTGTCATTGTAATTAGCATTTAGAAATGAACCTTTATTAGAGAAATGAAGTAATGATTAATAAATTCTATAATATTCGTTCAGTGGATTATGTTAAACAACTCGTAAAAAAATATTGTTTTTGCAACTTCACTCTTCATAGAAATTGTTTCAATAAACTTATGTTTCATACACTGTTTTATTATTTTCATTATTTACGGGGGACAGGGTACAATATTCTTCTGATTCAGGCATTTTTAATTAAATCAAGATTTGTACTACGATGTAACTTTAAAATGTTTATTTATCTATGCCGATTTCCTTGTTGACATCGGTACGCATACAACGTTGATGCCGGTACGCATACAACCACAGAAATCTATTCACATACACGACGGCTAATCACAATCGATCCGTATAGAAATGATCTCATCAAGAGCGAATGACGAACAATTCGGGCGTAACGGACTTCCGTTGCATTTTTACGGATTTACACCCTAGTCGCGCCTAAAGAAATTTAACTTCAAAAGAACAGCATTGCTGAAAATAAATTATACACAATTCATATTCTCTAATCCCAACGTCAATGTTGATCTTGAGCAGTAGTTAAAAATATTATCTTGTAAAAAAATCCCTTCTGCTAACCTTTTTAATTTGAAAGATTTTCACATATTTTGTAGCGATATTACTTATTAGTTATATTAAATATGTATTTTTTCAGAGAGCCAGCCAAATTCGTTCCATGCCTTTTACTGGCGATTCATCTGACGACAGCAGCGAAGGAGAGGATGGAGGTGGCAACTTACTACAACAGGGAAGTGCATCTTTGGGATTACTTCAACATACCAGTAATACCCTTGGGCACCATAGTAGTCTACCCCCTTCTAGTCATCAATCCTCTGACAGTTCTGTTTCGGGTTCAAGTCCTTCCAAAAGTGCGAAAAACGGTCAAAATTTGTCGCCTGCCAAAAACAAACCCAGAGGTATAATAAAAAAAAAACAAATATTGCAAACTGCACAATAAGAGGGAAAGAATGAGTTTTTAAATTAATTTTTTGTTTTGATTTCATTCAGCACAATAATAGACCATAGAAATTGTGAAAAAATCAAACTCACTAAAATCAGGCAGTATAGGAACACTTTTATTTGTTATTTCACTAAGAATGAAAACGTCCCATTATATAATAAAAACGATCAAGCAATTATTATGAATCAGCCAAGTTTGCTAATAACTAATAAAAATACTTCAATTAATAACACTGTAATGTTATAATATCAGTATTTTTTTAATATTCAGTATTTATTGTATGATTGCAATTAAAATGATACAAGTGAATTTGTATTGTTAAATTTATCATAATTTATTTAAATATAAGGTAGGGTGGGGCTCGAAGGTTCATTTTGACTTAAAGTAATTATATTGTCTAAACCAATTGAACTATATCACAGCACAAGTATCAAACAATTATCGTATTATGTTCAATAAAATTCTGAGTTAATTCCTAAATATATAAATATGTTTTTTTTTACTATTGTGACAGCCATCAGTAAATATATCCAATGTCTTATTTTTAATTTTAAAGGAATTTGGAAATAATAACATCACTATTCAACTAATTCAACTCAATTTTATGTGCACCTTTTTCACAAAAGTAACACTGTATATATCTTGATCTGGCTTTTGTCAGAAATATTTTTCAGCAGAATTGGAATTACTATGAATTTAATTTATTTTTTGTAAAATTGCTTTTTTTTAACAAAAGTTTACGTTTTTATTCAATGTATTTTATTCTTCACACCTCTGCCAGAGAAAAGGTTTAGTTAGTCCTTTTTACCCCACTCGCATGGAATCTTTTAAGGAGGTTATATAAAAATATCTGTTGAATCTAACTTAAAATTAACACCTTATAAAATTATTGAGCGGCGCTCACAGCCAAAAAAAACTAACAACGAAAGAAAATACTTCTATTATAAATTTTCAAATATTGCCGTTTATCTTCTGATAGCAACATTGCTTGATTTAAAGCGATGGCTGATTACAATTTTTCCCTCTATTTTTAAATATTGTTGTTCAAAAGTTACTAGCTTCTTTTTAGCTTCCTACGCTCTGTCTATAATACTTTTAATAATTATTTACATGTTCTAAAAATTATTTTTAACTTCCCGAAGGAGAAGTTAGTTTTCATAAAAAAATCCGATTCGCTAATTTTAAGTTTTCTCGACGTTTCAAGCCATCCTGAATCGAATGAGACCAAATTTGGAAAAATTATGTGTCTGTGTGTGTGTGAACAGATTTTTTACTGTAAATCGACGCTTCCTCAAAAACGGCTGGACGGATTTCAAAAATTTAAAAGCCATTCGATGTATATCGATGAGGACTAGCGTTTATCAATATTGCGCGATGATCCGCCAAGCCGTTTCTTTGAGATTGCAGAAAAGTGAAAAATTTCTCGTCAACGTTTTAGCCCGCAATTCTGAATCGATTTTGAAAATTCAAAAACCGTTCGAAAAATATTGGTTGGGAAAGATACTGATTAGTTTTTGGTGAAAATCTGCCGAGCCGTTTTCTTGTAATTAACTGTTGAAAAAAAATTTAAGCCGATTTTTATGGAACTTTTCTTGGCGATATATATCATAGGTCTTATAGAACTTTTCTTGGCGATATATATAGGTCTTATAGAACTTGCTAAAATATTACGGCCTTATGAAAAGTAGTTTAATTCTAAAAATTCATCACAATTTGAAAAAATGAGTAGTTTTTTTGACGTTTGTTAAAATTAAAATTAGACAATTTACTTTATATAACAATAGAGTACTTGGTCTTAATGAGCATACTAAACCATTAGAGTTCTGCAGAAACTGGTTCAATTATAAAAATCATTAATTTTTGAAAGTTTGCTTCTAGAAAATACTCCGAGTTAACGTGTTCGTTCGTTTTCAATTATGTGTAATAAATCTACTAAGAATACTTTTAATCACTCATAAATTAATTATTTTTTTATTGATTAAGTCGATTATTTACACGTATCGGGAAGTTCATGTAACTTGCCTCAAGCCAAAATATCAATACCAACTAATTTGGACCACAGAACAGATAGAACATATTGTGAAACTTGCTATATTGAAAAGTATTCAATACTAATATTTCAAAAGTACAGCAGTGTATGTTTTCTTAAACTTTTGACGTTTTCATTCTTTGTTAATAAATTTTGTTCTTTTTGAGTTATTTGATATATTATGCCAGAAATTCAAGTATTTCTTTACTCAAGAAAAAGTTTTGTTAGTAGAAATTTTTCAACCGATTTAAGAAAAACTCTTATTATTTGATCAGACAAGTCAAGTTGTTTATTGAATCATGGTCTTAATACATACTATTATTTGTTTTTTTGTTGCTTTTGTTTAGCCTTTGTGTTAAAAAATATTTGAAAAACAACACAAATTTGATTGCTGTTGGAATTTTTGGATTTGATTTGTTTTATTTTTGATTTAGTTATATATTGTTTGTGTAAATGTTTATTTTGATCGCGATCGGGTCCTCATGACCAGTGGTTTCAGACACGTCATTCGAGTCCGGCTTATCTGATGACTATGCAATACCACCTGACGCCTTGTCCTATGATGCTACCACTTGCGATGCTTCCATGCCTTCTTTATTAGTCAGGGCTTCTTATGCAGATAGTCCAAGGAGGACAGAATCTTTAGAAAAGATTGGACATCTTACAAAGCTTGGAGGAAAATTGAAGGTGATCTTATGATTTAGATAGATTTTAAGAATTTATTCGTATGACTGAACTTGATTAAATTTTCTATGACTTTTCTGTTCTTTTCAATTAATTAGTTGATGAATGTATTTTCTACTTTTTGTAATCTTATAACCATGTGCATTATTTATATATTTTAAAGATCTAAAATAAGCCAACATTATTTCATTCTTTTAAATACCATTTATTATTTATTATATATTAGTGATGTTATTATTATATATTAGTGATGTGCCGACTCGAAAATGTCTTGTTTGGAATGATTCGAACTAGAAAAAAGCTCATTTGAATCAATTCGAATCGAGTTTATATATGGGCAAAAAAGCAGAAAATTGATGTTTTTAAATATAAATTACCTCCAAAAAAATATATTTCAAAAATGATTTAATTTTGAAGACGGTTAAAATAGGGCTTCCAATACCACCGTACTAAAATCTAAATACCGATATTCGATATTTGAAATTTGTATTAATACCGGTATTATCAATGAAAAATTTACTAGTCATATTTTTATTTACCGCAGTTGTTATATTCATATATTGACATATTAACATTATTATTGTTCTAAAATGAGTACATATTAATTATTTTATTACATAGGGAATAGGAGTAGATAGATACAAAAAAAACGTGCAAGTAAACAATTATATATTAACTTGTATGTGTTACATTTTACTTTTAATAGGCTTATATGGAATTACATATTTAAGGAACAAAACAAATTCAATTAATAACTTATATATTGTTTATTAAAATATGCTTTTAAAAAATATAAACAATCAATTGTTTAATCATCAAGCGAGGACCGAATTTTAGTACAAATATAACAAGTCGAAAACCTTTTGAAAATGAATTATTACTTGCAAGTTCTGGTATAGTGTATTTATGTTATAATAAAATCATCATTAGATGTCACGACATCACAAAGATTTATAGAAAATTATTGTATTTTCTGATTATCTAATAAATAAATAAAATAATTCTATACGAACGACTTCTAAGAATCTGCAACGTACGCATAAGAAAGAAGACATCCTCCACCAAGACCAATATTATCATTGATTATCAAACTATATATCACTCGATGATTTGACTTGTAAATTTTCGTTATAATGAAATAATAAATAAATACGAATGATTGATAGGAAGAAATACAATGTAGATAGAGAATAATGTGTCGATTATATATTTTATTTAAAAGTCATTGATAACGAATTAGATGTGAGGACAATGCACGTGGACGACTAATAATTTTTATAAATGGGTTGCATTCATTAGGTCGTATATAATATATAAACAATTGCTTTATCTTGCCAATGTGTCATAATCGGCTGAGTTGAGTCGGTAATACACATAAACAGTGTAAAACTTGTGTATGTGTATTGCATAAGTTCAATTTTTAGCAAAATACTGGTAATCCCAAAATACCGGTATTTTTGGTATCAATACCGGGTATTAAATGCCGGACAAAAATCGTCCAGGATCCGGTATTCGGGATCACGGAATTCCGGTATTATAAGCCCTACTTTTCACCTTATTGTTTTGTATTGCAAGAAGTTCTGGTTTAATATATTTTATTTTTTAATTAAAAGTGATCCGATGAAAACATATATATTTTATTTAACCACTTAACGCACAGTTTTTTTGAAAAAACCCGGCCAGCGCTCGAATTAACTCGACTATTATTTTTTCTCAGACATGGCGTAAGCGATGGTTTGTGCTGAAGAATGGTGCTTTGATATATTGGAAATCGCAGCACGATGTAAACAGAAAACCTCAAGGACAAATAATTTTGGATGACAGTTGTAGAATAACAAGACAAGATGGAGCAAGTACATTTGAAATTAATACAGGGAAAAAAATATATTATTTGACTGCAGATTCTATTTCTACGATGGAAGAGTGGGTTAGAATATTACAGGTAACAAGTAAAGTTTACATTGAAAAATGATTATATTTTTTTTCACGAATATTATAATCTTGTGAAGTTAAACACAATTGAAATCTTAAAAAATTCGAATGGTCACTTAATCATTTTGGCAAAGTTTGATGAGTGATGAATGGATGTTCAGATCTCTTTGTTTTGTTTAGAATAATTTTGGATTTAAATTTTATTGAACTAAATTGGTTGAACTTTTTATGTTACTAAATAGTTTTGAATTCTCAATGAATTTTTTTCCAATATATATATATATTTATTATTCAACATTGTTTGCTAGTTTTCACTGGTGAAATACACATAAAATTTACTTTTATTTCACATTATTGACATAAATCTATTTACTTCGTTAAAAATTAAATTTCTATTCATTTCATATTCGTGAAAAATGTTTAAGTTTTCTGAAATTAAGAGTTTGAATTTCTTACAAAGGTTTATAAAAATCAAAATTATATGAATATTTATATCATAAAACAAACCACTTAAATATTGTAATTTTTATTTTTGAACTATGAAAAACTCTATTTCAAAAATTCTATTTTGTTAATCAGGTAGCCAATATGATTTAAATGAATAGCATAATTTGTTGTCTTGACTATCATCAGACATGTAATATTATATTATTCATAACACGCTTTTTATCTTATATTAATTTATTAATTTAATATTTTAATATGATACTTCCAATTTTTTATAGAATGTACAAAGAAGAAATGCGGCCAGGCTTCTGCTTAGCAAGGAGGATCAGAAACCAACAGTTCAAGGATGGTTGACGAAAGTTAAAAATGGTCATGCCAAGAAATGCTGGTGTTCATTAATGGGCAAAATGTTTTTATATTTTAAGACGCCTAATGATACTGTAAGTTCATATGTTTTATATTTTAAATATTCTTATAACTATAGTCTATGAGAAGATGATAATTTTAAATTCATGAAAAATTTGTTATTAAAATTTAGTATGGAAACGTATTCTTATTCAAAAAATACAATAGCTTTTATTGATAAATTAGCAACTGAGCTTTGTACAGGTATGAAATTATGAAATTCAATTCAATTCATTTAATACAAATTTACTTCTGTATTTTTTGTTATAATTTTTGACACTATTATATTATGTGAATAAAATATACAAATTATTTATTATATATTTCCTTAAGGGGGTATTCTAGTGTAGAGCAATGAATTTTAGGTCATTTTTAAAGTTTTGTAAAAGAAAGCAATGAATGTTTTTACTATCCATTTTTTTACCACTTGTATATTAATTTTATTAAAATACAAAACAAAAATTTAAAAAAATATGTTGAAAATTGGGCGGTTGATGAAGTGGGGGGTCTCAAAAAATTGGCACCTCAGTCTTGCCATGATTTCACCCCGGAAATGAAAAAAAAATAAGATTATTAATCTACAATGATGAGTAAACAAATTTTTTTTTACAAATTGGCGACTGTTTGAAAAAAACTGTGTTTTTTTACTGTTTTTTGAGTTTCTCGAATTTTTAAAAAATAATAAAAATTGGAATTTGGGGACGATGCTAGTTCGGGCTACAGATAGGTTTATAAACAAGACTCTCTGAACATTTCAAGTGAATCAGTCGAGTAAAACTCGAGAAATCGTGGCAACAGTTCTGAAAAGTCTGTTCTGAGAAGAACGAATTTAAAGTTTTGCGTGAAGTTTTTTGCTGTCAAAGTCATAAAATGATATGTTATACTTCTTTTATTTAATCTGCCACTCCTGCTTCATGCATCGGACTTTCTTCTACTTCAAAAAACTATTTTCTTCGTTTCTCTCTTCCAACGAAGCAGTTCTAGCCTCCTTTGAAGCGTTGGATGTACGTATTTCAGATCGTTCAATCCGGGCGTTGTCTCGTCTTACAGCAAATGAATGAGTTCCTGGCCCAATTTGCATTACCATAAAGGTCATCATTTTTAAAATCGGAAAGAAACCTTCATTGAATATGCAAACAGTAATAAATGTTCTAAATTGTTCTAATGACCTCCTAATGCCTTTTGTCCGATTAGACCCTGCTGAACCAGTTTGGAGACCGGGTCAGTAAAATGCCTACATCTCCGAAAATAATTCAAATTTTTAAAAATCTTCTCGTACCCATATTCTTAGATAGTTAAAAAATCGATTTTTTTGAAATTCTACACAAGAATACTCCCTTAATATTTTTTTACTATTAAAAAATCTATCAATACGTTTGAATAACGAAAGCATCTTTAAAAATATTCAAATACTTGGGGTTTACCTAAAATATAAAAATCCTTTTATTCTCACTTGCATACTTTTGTGTGAGCGTGCAGTGAAATAACGTATCAACTTTATCTAATAAGGAAAGGCTAAATTTTGTATTGAGCGAATTTTCTCTGGATATACTGTATTGTTTTGCTTACTTTTATTTTGAATTTTAGAATCCTATGGGGCAAATAAACATGCGCGACGCGCGAGTTGAAGAAGTTGAGCATATTTCTGACTCCGATTCTGAAGAAAGAGAAGAACATGGTGGCACTTCACAAGCCAGGCTGACAGTGTCTATATACCCTGAGCATCAGGTTAGATATAAATAATTATGAAAAATACAATTGATAAGTTTGCAACACTTAATTTTTTTTATAAATTAATATATTATTCCTCAGGGTCCGACGTATTTAATTCTACCGAATAAACAAGAACGGGATAATTGGTTATATCATCTCACCATTGTTAGTGGCGCTGGGTCTAATTCTGGAACTTTGTATGAGCAACTAGTTCAGAAACTTATGGAAACTGATGGAAATCCTGGTAAAATATTTTTTCATGTATTTATATATTTCAGATATATTACAACGTTTTTGTACTAGGACAACCTTTATGTGTTTGAGTAAGTCAATCAAAATCAAGTTGATTGAATTGTTTTTTATTTAAAAAAAACTACAAATTTATTACTGATATGAATAAGTATAATATAAATATAAAAAGTAAAAATATAAGAATACATATAAACCTTATTTTTAACTTCCCGAAGGAGAATTTTTTATTAAAAAAAAAAAAACTACAAATTTATTAGTGAGATGAATAGTATAATATAAATACCAAAAGTGAAAACTTCTTAACATTTTAACTTTCCGAAGGAGAAGTTTCAAGGATTTTCAATAATGTGTAATAAATCCACTTCGAATACTTTTAACCACTCATAAATTAATTTATTTATCGGGAAGGTCATATAACTTGCTTTAAGGCAAAATACCAATACCAACTAGTTAAACATATTTGCATAAAAATTTATCAAGATTTAAATATATAGAACATTAATATTTTTGAAACTCATTTCAGCATGTGAAATTTGGCGGCATCCTCACCTCTTACATACGAAAGACAATATTCATTCGCCTTTGACAACCTTGCATTCAGAGGGACTGCAGGCAGAAGCAATTAAGCTATTTAAGGTTGATAATATTACAATAATTAGAATATTATTTGATACAAGATATTAATTTTTATGAAAAATTATAAATCAAAATCAAGTTGGTTTTCAATTGATGTTATATTTTCATAGTTTGCTTTTATATAAGGGGGCGTCCATTAATCTCGTGATTGATTTTTTAAGTATTTTTGGACCCCCAGTGATACGTGGTGATATTCAAGATTACCTCCATCTCCCACCAAACATCACATATATTTTTAGTTACGAGAAAAAAAAGTTTTGAAAATGTTTGAATTTTTATAACCTCCCGTAGGGCAAGTTATAGTAATCGCAAAAAAATCGAAAATGAAAATTTTTATATATCTTTACGTTTCAAAGGTTTCTGAACATTTTGGCATACCTTAGAAAAAATGGATGTATGTGTGTGTGTGTGTATGTATGTATGTATGTATGTATGTACGTGTGTGTATGTATGTGCGGATACAAATTTTCGTCGACGATTTCGGGAACACGGATCAACCGATTTGAATAATTCAAAAAACATTCGATTCGTATTGATAAGGAGACGTGCTGACTAGTTTTTGGCAAAGCCAGGTCTAGCCGTTCCGAAGATACGGGGCAAAAAGTGCCGAAAACGGTAACTCAGTTTTTAAGAGAACGGAGCGTCCGATTTGAATAATTCAAAAATCATTTCACTTGTATTGACAAGATGAAGAATCGATAAAATTTTCATGAAGGTAAGTCTAGCGGTTTCGGAAATATGAAGGAAAAAGTAAAAAAATGAGCCATTTGGCGGTCAAAAATGATCATTGGACATATGCACATCAAATTATCAGATATTTTATAGAGATTTTAACAATAAGTATACATTTTGTTAACCTTCCTATGGGTTCCGTACCAATGCTTATGCGTTAGACAGCGACGCGGCGCTTACGCGCTTTATATTTTGTCCCTATGCAGATAAAGTAGTACGATTGCTTTAAAAAAAAGTTCAGATCTTCCACAATATGTCAAAATAAAGAAAAAAAAAATTTTTTCAAAAAAAAATTTTTTTTTTTTTTTAAATTTTTTTTTCATTAAAAAGTTATTTTTTGTCCAATTCATAGTTTCTCAAAAATCTTATTTTTCCAAAGTAATTTTTTTTCAAAAATGTTAATCGTTTTTAAAAAAATAATAATTTTTGGTACGGGAAGTTCCAGCAATTTGCCTTAAGGCACGATGCCTTAATTGCCTTAAGACAGAATTCCACTTATAGCTAGTTTGAAATTCAGGTAAAAAATAAATACATGTGATATCTTACTATACCTTTCCCGTGATTTTTTGTCAATCTCCCCTGAAATCTTTATGTTATTAATGGACCCTCCTTAAATTGTTATATTATTTTTATTTTTAATTAGTTTATTTTATTATCTGAAAAACTCTATTGTTCATTTTTGAGAAAAAAATATTTTCAAAAGATGTATTTAGCAGGACGTTATGAGTCATAGATAAACAAGTATAAGATAACAATGTTATGAGTTTTATTCTATTTTTTTAAATTCTCTAACATCTCCTTTCAAACTATTAAAACAAAATTAATTTATTTAGTGTTGCCAGCTATTTTCATCGGCTGCTATGGAACAAGCAGGAATTGATTATCATGTGGTGCTTGCACAAAATGCTTTGCAGCAGTGTCTTGACGCGCCCGAACTGCAAGCGGAGCTGATATGCGCTCTGGTTAAGCAGACGTCCAGACATTTGTCGCACAACGCCACACATTCGACTGGTTCTTCAGCTACCGCGTCACTTACTAAACCTGCCAGGGTAAGCTATTTTAAATGATTAAATTTATATTTTGTGGGATATATGGTCGTTGATGTTGTAGATAGTTAACAAGGGTACATAAAGGTATAAAATAAATTTTAAAAAGTTTCCAATTTCGAAAAAAATCTATATTAATTTTGCAAATTAGCCAAATTAAGAAGGGCTAAAAATCACCCCGAGAAAGACGCAACTGGTCGCGCATTGGAATTGTTTGACAAAACATGTGTAACTTATTTTCGCAATACAATAATAAGTTGAAGAAAAAATAATGCTCGTTGGATAGTTTTTTAAACGCAAACACTAGTACTATAATGATAGTGAAACAATGAAATTCACCGTTAACTTCCCGTAGGGTAGTTATAGTAATGAGACGAAAACCGAAAATGCAAATTTTTGATTTCTCGACGTTTTGAAAATTTCTGAACATTTTGGCATACCTCAGAAATAATGGATGGATGGTATGTCCGCATTTTTTCGTCGACGTTTTTGGGCGCACGGATCAACCGATTTAAATGGTTCAAAAAACATTCGATTCCTATCGATAGGGAGATGTGGTGATTAGTTTTTGGCAAAGGCAGGTCCAGCCGTTTCGAAGATACGGAGCAAAGAATGCAGAAAATAGAAATCGAGTTTTTGAGAGATCGGATCATCGGATTTGAATGATCCAAAGAACATTCAATTCGTAATGACGCGGATTAGTGGTGATTTTGGCAAAGGCAGGTCTAGCGGTTTCGCAGATACAAAGCTAAATGTGCAAAAAATGGCAGTTTTTGAGAGAACTAAGCGTCCGATATGAATGATTCAAAGAACTTTCTGCATGTTTTGACAAAATAATTGCTTTTGGGAAAAAAAAGTTTTTTTTCAAATTTTTTTTTGTCAATTTCTTTTTTGTATATCGAAAATAATTCAGATATTAATTGTAATTCTGACTTAAGTTCCAATAACAAATATTTTCAACTTTGCAATTCAGTTTATATAATTCTTTATTAAACAATGTTAAAGTATTTATTTATCTATTTGAAAACATTTAATATTCCTCGAACATTTCGTTACGGTACGCGAAGTTTCAGCGATTTGCCTTAAGGCACGATGTCATACACACCACTAGTTAAGATTTTAATTGATATAATTTTGTTCATTACATGATTTTCGTTAAAAGGTATATTTTTGAAGATATTAGCAAAAAACGATAAAAAACGCCAAAAAGAAACGAATTTTCATTATTCTCTTATAATTAGTTCTTTTATCGATATTCGTCGCTATTTTGAAAAAATTAAAATCACACCACTGAAAAGGGATGTCATCACCCCGGGAAGTGGTAAAAGAGTTTTTTTTACTTTTGAACTGAGTAAGATAAACCTAATTCCAAAATTTCATGCAAATTGGAGCACAGTAAAATTATTCAGATCCAAAACGCTCCATTGACTTGAGCAAATATTCCGTATCCAATGCCAAACATGTGAATTTTTGACACAATGAAACTTCTAAATAATTTTTTGAATAAGCAAATTTTTTGTGGTTTAGTAGAGTAAGGTAAAACACGATGGCATTAGTTAAAAAAATTTAATCCGTCAAATATAGTTATAGGGTATATTCAATAACATTCGACGCATGCGCAGACAGTCAGACGCATGGTGAATATATCTTATATTATTTTAATTTTTGGCACATCTCAGATGCTTTTTGGCAATAATATTGTGGAAATTACATTTTTCTTATTTATGATCATAAATATATTATATTTTAATATTATCTTAGCCTATTAGTGAATTGAAATGTTTGGCAAATGACAGTCTTCATTTGTTTTTAATGTCAAACAATGTCTCAAATATTTTCAACGTCAAACAATGATAAGCGGTTTTTTGTAATTTAACAATCTAGCTATATTTCTTTGAATCAAAAAATCCTAAAAAAATCCCTTTACAAACTTCAGAGACAATTATCAAAATCCGAATAATCGTTTAGGAGGATTAACCTTTCATACGCTATTACTGAAGAATTTTGTATATTATATATATATATATATATATATATATATATATATATATATATATATATATATATATGAGTGAGTTCTTGAGGGCGAATAATTAACTACTAAATCATATATATATATATATATATGCTTTATTTTGTAAGCATAGTGCATATTATTCTAATAAAAAATTTATTGTTATCACACAAATAATGTTTTCCGTAGCAAAAAAAAGTTCATTTGTAATGTAAAAAAATGTTCATTTGTATGTATGAACATACATTTGCCTATGTTTTTGGCATAGGCAAATCCCATATTTTTTAACCGTTCTTGCTTCTTTTCTTTCTTTCTTTTGGTCGGCATTTGGCTAATAATTAGTAATTAGGATAATAATTTATTCTTTTACGGCAGAGCATATAATATTATTATATTTAATTTTGCATTGAAGGCAGCAATACATCAGTTTTTGCTTATCAGCTTTTTATCATAAATGCACAGAAAATATATGTTGATTCCAAGTGAGCCCAGTTGCAAAACTGGATTTTAAGTTTGGAACATAATCTACCATAAGCATAAGATCGGTACTAGTGATCAAATACACATTTTTATTGGAAACAAATTCACTTTATGAACAAATCTGTCTAAAATGACTCTGCGATAGCATGACTGGGGTAGTCCCGTAACGCCGGACGGCACCTAGTGCCGGACACTCTATTTAACACGTTTTATTTAAGCGAATACAAATCTCTTCATTTCAAAATAAAAATGAAAGGGGCGCAGGGGGCACACAGGTACAGGATCATACGCCGACCCTCGCCTGTGACGCACACACGGCGGGAGCAACCACTTGCTGGTTTAGGAGCAAATTCACGGCGTCAGCTAAATATCAATGGAAGTAATTCTAGTATATTTATGTATTTACATTAGTACTTGATTGTTATCCGTAAAATGGTAAAATATTATTAGATATTTTAAACAATTTTAGTAAGTACCACCAAATGAACGAAAATGTCTGTTGCTTAGCACAGGACAATAAGTCGTTTCTTAGCGCCGGATTGTGAACATATTGATATTTCTTGTGAAAATCGACGTAATTTATTCTAATTATTTAATTTTGTTCTGTATGAGTGCTAACGGTCACTACATACCCCCATTTGTCGTATTTTTCTTAGTCAAAGAACGAAAAGCTTATGATGGATGCTCTAGCTGAGAGCATCGGTGTGGCCCAGCCAATATGAAATTTTAGATAGAAAAATTTTGGAGGAAATAGTGGATGAATAGTGATTTTTTTGCAATACATTCCACAGTGTGGAGATGGCTACATATTTGTTCAATTCAGGTTAATTTGAAATGTCCGGTGCTAGGTGCCACTTTTTAAAATTATATTTTTTGTTACCGAAGTTTGATTCATAGTATTAATTATTTTTAGCAAAGGTTACGGTTTTGTTAATTCAGTTTGATTTCTAACTTCGTTATCTAACATAAGTCATAATTTAATAAACATTTTATAAAGTAGTTTTTGATTTATTTATAAATAACCTTAGGTGTTTGCCACTCGGGGACTTCCTCCTAAATAAAATTATAATGTTTTTTCTTTGTGATATAAACTGTTTTTATTCTAATTTAATAAGCTCCCGTTTCTGTATCATTTTATATCATTTTATTACCATAAACATGAATGTTTCTATCATAATTTTGAAATATATATAGTACTGTATGAAGTCAAATTTTAGCTGCATATTGAGCGTTTTTGCATTTTTGCAGCAACTGCTCTTGTGCGCCACGCAAACGCTGTTTACATGTGATACGCATGGTGTGCAGAATGCGCACGCTAGCGTCGATAATGGTTCGCCTACTAACTCCATACAGGTGGGTGATTTCAAAACCACCCAGTATACACTATCAAAATCACTCACTTTAATTTATTTTCATTTATATTCTGATGAAAATTTTCTGTTTACATTTTGTGGTTATTTTTTTTGCAATTGTTGGTTATTGTTTATTTTTTATTTCAATGCGTTTGCTCTAGTTATTTTACTATGTGCTTGAAGTAAATGATACAAAATAGAATAATTTTATCAGAAATTAATTCTGAATCTTTTTAACATCTCTCGATTACCTTTCATAAACCAATTATGAAACTCATTCAAACCATCATGATTAATACCTTTTCAATGAAATTGAAATAATATTTGCTAAGAATATTTTCTTAGATAAAATCAAGAATTATAGGTTTATTAAAATTATTTAAATTTGCATTCAGCAATATTTTATTGAAGCACATACATGTTTTATGTGATATAAGTCATAAGAATTTTAAAATATAAAATGGCTCATTCCGATCTAGGATTCGATAGAATTATTTAACAGAGTGGAAATAATTGTCATTTTAGTTTCCATTTTTTTGCAACAAATATTTCTGTACGAAATTTGTAAAGACGTTTTTCCTCAAAATGCAGGGGATAAAAAATTAAGTTTTTAATTCATTTAATATCGTCTTTTATAATTCCTGTTTTCGTCTTCTTTTGAATAGAACTCTTTCTCACTATCGCATAATTCAGAAAAAATACGAACATATTCATATTGGTGTACTTTTCTTGCCTTTAGGAACATTGCTTTTCTTGCTTTTAGGAACATTGCTTAGTCTTCTCTACACTTGAAATGTATTCAATAATATATAGTTAAATGTAATAGTAAAAAACCTAAAAATTATTAGAAAAGCAATAAACTAAAAATTACAATAAAAAAGGAGTTATCTATACTTTAACTCATGATGAATCTTAAAGCGTTAAACTAGTGACGAAAATTGAAGCGAAGTCCGACACGCTATGTCGTCCATGGACGACATCCGTACAAACAGCACGTTAAACGGATGTCATCCACGAACGACATGCGTACACATAGCACGTCATGTGGATGTCGTCCATCGACGACATTCGTAGCGATCGAGTTAACAAAATGCAATAACAACTCTTTATGAAAAATAATCTTTCATTATTATTATAAATTTATTCTAGCTTTTATCAAAAGCGTTATTACACAGAAGCAATTCTGTCAATAATCGATACAAACGTTTTAATAATAGTGGATGATAAAAGATAAAAGATTTTTGTTTTGTTTTGTTATACATGACTACTTAATTTTTCGACTTCAGTTGCCTAAGAAAATGCGTTTATGTAGATTGAATATATTTGAAAACTATGCAGATCAAATAATTAAAAATATACATTTTGCCATTTTTAAGTCGATTAATAATTACTGGATGTGATAATTTTAGTACTAAATTTAGGAAAATTTGACAATTATCGATTTGTCCAAAATTATCGAAATCCAGGCAATCAATTATATGGTATTTTTTCTAGCCACCACTTTTTTTATTTTTGGCTCCAGATTATGGTTTCACTAATTTTAAGCAAGCAAACTATATAAGCAAAACATATCAATGTGGTTAAAAATTGTTCATAATTACGTTATATTTGAAATATAATTAACATAATTAAATAATATAATTAATAACAATATTTTTCAGATCGGTTAATTTATATTAGTGGCAATGAAACGTGTTTGACGGATAAATAGAGCTATTTTATTTGACAATAATTTATTCGACAATAACAGAGTACATTGCGTTCAATTAAAGTTTATTATTTATAAAGTTTATTTTTAATCTGTGTTTTTCTTCATTTATGTTTATTCCAAACTATCAACACAATCTATCCTATGATCACACATTTGACACATACATACACATCCGATACATTCTTATATGTGTGTATATATATAACCAATTGTGAGTAGAAATATGAACACCCTTTATGCACTATATATTTATTAATAAATATTAAAAGCGCTTCTAAACTAGATTTGTCTTATCATCAGTGTAATTTATAATATATATGGTATTTAATTCCAATGTCTTTGTCAAACGCAATTTTAATTCATTGATCTTGCTGAATAGTTATTTATATTGTTTGAAACTTATGGTCTGGGTTTGTTGATAGTTTTCCATTTTATCTATTTTTTGAAAGAATTGACATCAGGCCTATATTAAGTCACCACAGAAAGTGATTATTTTTGTTTGGTAATCATTGTTTTCAGATAATTTTAGGATGTTTAGTCAAGGTCAATATGCATTTTTTAGGATTTTATATGTATTACAATATATTGTTGTGCCCCATTCAGCGACGTTGCCAACAATATGTACGTTCTTCCTACTGCTAACAAGCTGGTACCAACTGTGAAAGCGAATCAGTGAAACAGATTGAAGACGTTTGATGTTTTTGTTTATTTCATGCTTCTTGTAGACTTTGCATATAACTTGAACAACTGAACTTAAATATAACTCTATTGATTACTAAATATTATTGACTCATATTGACTGGACATTATGATAACTTTATTACGACTGAACTATATTGATGTGAACTTATTGAAAACTTGATGACGACTGAACAACAAATGCGTCATTGCTTAGTATTTATGTGCTTGATTCAATTTGACATTGTAATCCTTGTTCAATGTTACTGCATAGTGCAAAACTACGCTTTACTTAGTTGTTAAGGCGCCGTTTGTGGTTTGAAAAGGAATTTTATCAACGCTTGCAAGGTTACTGCGAGCATACAATGTATTGTAGCTATGAGTAACAGTAACTGTGTTGTTTGTATTCTGACCGTTATATAGTAGTTTATAATATTATTTTTAATTATTACAAATGGGTGAATACCACTGCAATATATATATATATATATATATATATATATACACCACACAGCGGACGGTTTTGACAGACATGTGGAGGTTAAAAAACAATAGCTATAAAATGGTTTATAACTCTGATTGTCAGAAATATGTGACACAATACAGCATAATCATTTAAACAAAGCTTGTGGATATAATTTAACAATATAACAAAACATAATGTGTCAAACAAATCAAAGAATTCCTTGTGATTTTTTTTCTTATTTTATCTCTCTTTCGCATTTTGTCTTAGTTAAGTTAGATTTTTCTTTATCTATTTAATCTTTACCTTAAAAGACTAACTAGTATGACCAAAAGTGAGCTTGAAAAATGGGACCATACTATCTTTCGCATCTTTATCTCAGGCAAATAAAGAGGTAGAAAGGTGAAATAAGTTATCGAATTATTTCGAAAATGGAGACTATATTTGTCGCCCACATCCTATGTTTTCAAGAATGCATTTATATTTATTTTTACTTCATAATAATGATACATTTAAAACTTGTAAGGTAAAACTTAGATCATTTATTAATAATTTTAAAATTTGTTCTTTTCAGCAATTATATTAGTGTATTGATTTGATATTTGTTGTTTATTTACAAATATTAGTACTTAAAATAGGTTTCTATATTTAACTGTGTCAAATGGAGTGTCATTGTGTTTTTTTTTCTAAAGTAATCGTTGCTTTCTCTGAGCAACATAATAATAAAAAGTATAATAATAAAATTATGTTGTTTCTTACTCGAATGACATTTTTATGTTTTTTTTTAGACACCAGCAATTCCATCAACACCGGCATGTTGTAAAAGCAATCCTCCGACTTACAGCTTCATCCAGTGTTGGCAACTTCTAGCTTTGGCCGTAAGCTTATTTACACCTCGAAATAGCCGTTTGTTATGGTATCTTAAGTTACATTTGTCACGCAACTCTTGCGAGACAAAAACAGAATGTGGCAAATACGCGGCCTATTGTGAAAGGGCTTTGGAGAGAACTATACAAAATGGTGGAAGGGAGTTAAAACCGTCACGAATGGAAGTCTTGAGTATACTTTTGAAGAATCCTTATCACCACTCTTTGCCTCACTCTATACCAGTTCATATGGCCAATGGTGCTTATCAAGTTGTCGGTTTTGATGGTTCTACAACTATCGAAGAATTTTTAAGGACGTTGAGCCAGGAGATAGCTTGCAGAGATAGCTCAGCTAATGGTTTCACATTATTTAGTGACGATCCAATTGAAAAGGATTTGGAAAACTTTATTGAACCAGCATCCAAGGTGGGTATCTTTATTTGTTCATATTATGTCACAAACGTAATTCACACGCGATTGAAGTAAAACTCATTTGCTACTGTACAAGATGGCTTTTAAGTAAAAATAAATACATCATATAACAATTTTGAATAATGTTAATTAGTAATATGAAAACGCTCGTGATGCGCACATTTATTAGTGTCAACCATTACACACATTTATATAATGATAAATAATAAATTATATATTTATAATAGCGTTATAAATATGTATAATATTTAAAGACAATAATGTAATTAAAGTCATACTTCAAATATGACATGATCGCCATTGCCATTGTAATTAGCATTTAGAAATGAACCTTCATTAGAGAAATGAAGTAATTGCTGATTAATAAATTCTATAATATTCGTTCACACAGTGGATTATGTTAAACAACGCTTATACAAATATTGTTTTCGCAACTTCACTTATCATGTAGTTGTGTTTGAAGAACTTCATGTAATTAAAATTAACATTCGTTCATTGACTGCTTGTATGTCTTTTTCGCTGGCGATATAATCTCATTCTTTGAACAGCTGTAATATCTCTCTTGTCTAAAAAATATTTAATTTGTTTTATATTTTCAAGGAACTGAGTAAAATAGTCTTCCGATTCATGCATTTTTCATTAAATCAAGATTCGTACTACGATGTAACTTTAAAATGTTTATTTATCTATGCCGATTTCCTTGTTGATATCAGTACGCATACAACGACAGATCTCTATTCACATACACGACGGCCAATCACAATCGACCCGTATAGAAATGATCACATCGAGAGCGATTGACGAACAGTTCGGGCGTAACAGACTTTCGTTGCATTTGTACGGATTTACACCCTAGTCGCGCCTAAAGAAGTTTTACTTCAACAAATTGCATAAAGAATGTTTTTATTATAATAGCGAACGTTTCGTGCCTTGATTTGACTCAATCAATGCATACAAATAATCAAAACTAAAATAAACACAAAAATGAGAACATTAAATAATCAAACACAGAGTTATATAATAAAATAAAAAATATTTAATATTAAATTATTAAAAATAAATACAAAGATTTATAAAGGTGCTTGTGAACCAAGGCAAATGTTTGAATGCGAATGTTTAATTACTGAACGATGTATTGAAAGACGAAGTTCTGTTTTATATAAACTATTATTTTTATAAATATTTTATTGCAGTATAGATGCATATAAAAAGCTTACCATATACATCATTACATCATTATATTTTACCGCATACGTGATAAGATTCTTCTTAAATTTATACTTGTAAAATTAAAAACGTAATATAAAAAATATTATTACCCCCAGTAGTATAAAAATAACATTATATTTGGTTTTTAGCTATGCGATGTAATATCGAGATGGGAAACGGCGCTTCGAGAAAAAGGCTCTGGTAAGTTTGAAAATTCTCGAGTAATCCAATTAACCTACAAGAACCGTCTTTACTGGAAACATTCAGCCCGCATGGAAACAGATAAGGAACGTTTGTTAATGTGCTACCAGGTTAATCAGCAAAGTAAGTAATTATTTAATGGTTTTAATTTGTATATTATAACAGTAACGTTTTCTCGAAAATTTTCGTTTTCAATTTTTTTTAGTAAATAAATTATTTCTAAAGTTATAGCTGTTTTTAGTGACCCATTTTAAGAAAACGGTCCTGGCAGTGACAGTCATAATTCCTTGGAGGTCCATCTAAAATCTATCGAATAAAAAAAAAATAGTTTTGTAAATAGATAATCCTGGGCCTGATCGAAGCTTTTCTTGTTTTTGCAAAAATTAACAAAATGGCGGCATCAGAAAAAAAATCTAGATTTTTAGAAAAAAAAATCAACAGTTAATTGGTCTTAAAAAATTTAAATTTTAGATTAGATCAGGCTCGAGTTTGTTATGTATTCTAAAAGCTGTATGAATTTCATTAAGATCTACTAAGCGGTTTTTGAGTTACAGTTGTCACCAGTTCAAAAAATATAGTTTTGAGCATAGGTAAATAAGCATAAGGTTTTGAGAAAAACGCGCTTAAAGTTTCACATTGGGTTTTCGTACAGAAATACGAATTATTGAATTACGTAAACCGAGTCATCTATTTCTGGGCTATATAATAGTTCATTAGTCATTGTGAAAATTTCCAAAATTTCCATTTGCTGCAGCCTACAAACCATTCTGGGCTCCGGAATGTTCTCGTTGGCGCGCTGATCTGCCACTTTCACACGTTCAGCATCCAATTTTTCAGCATACTAATGGGAATTATACCCACAATTAGGTCCTAGAGTATCCATAATCATTAATAATGATTATGAATATGCATGCAGCAATTTGTACGATAGTAGAACTAGTATTTACGGTTTGTGGGCACATTTTTTACACTAGTTGGTTGAAGCTCTCAATTTTTTTCTGATTAGGGATTCAATCTTGAACTACACATTTTGAAAGTAAATTATCATCGCTGAGATCGTCGCAAATCGGTCTAATAGCTTTTAAAACAGCAGAAGGTAAGGGAGAATAATCTTGAGTATAAGTATCGAGCTCTTCACTCTCAAATAACTCAAAAAGTAATCATTGGATCAACTTGAAATTTTCAGAGAATATTTTCAAGATATTACACTTAACGAAAATGCAAAAAAACAAAAATTGATTACCCCTAACCTTTTAATGCAATTGAATTTGCTTAATCAAAAGTGCCAATTAATTTTGTTTAAAAAACTTTATCACAAGTTAAGTAAAAGCTAGCAGCATAAATTTCTTATTTTATATGGTTATTATGGTCTGGTTGATATATATATATATATATATATATATAAAGTATAATCAGATATATATTCAAAAATATAAATATTATATGAATTACTATACCACTAACTTGCAGTTGTGGCCGGTCGTTTCCCACTGAGCAGAGAACTAGCTATAGAGATGGCTTCTTTGATGGCACAGATTGATCTGGGTGACCGTTCTCGGGTCTCTGGTAATACATGTATTCCCATTGACAAATTTTATCCTTATCGGTACAGAGATTCTCTGTCTAGCGAAGGCTTACGGGATCTACAAGAACTCATTGGAAGTAAGTGGTTTGCTTTGAAAGGCAGAAGTGCTATGGATTGTGTGAGAATCTATTTAACTTGCGCCAGGAAGTGGCCTCTATTTGGGGCAAGCATGTTTCAGGCTAGGCTTAAATTTGGTGATAGAAATACTGCATGGTTGGCTGTAGCCGAAGACAGCGTCTCTGTTTTGGAATTGACATCAATGGCAGTCGTATCCAAATTTGCTTACAGCAGTGTCATAACATTTGGAGGTTGCCAGGATGATTTCATGTTAGTTGTTGGATCTGAAGATGGTTGCGGAGGGGAAGAAAAAATGTTGTTTGTGATGAGCAAACCAAAAGTTTTAGAAATCACTTTGTTAATAGCTGATTACATGAATGCGCTGGGTCATGCTATACCAGGGACTCCTCAGATGAATACTTTAACAAGAAATGGATCTAGAAGGTCTTTTAGACCTCTGGTTGTTGCTTCGACATGCAATAATACACTGAGCACTCATGGCCAACCTGATATCCTAAAATCTACACCAGATCATCAATGTATGACAACTGATTCGAAAAGAAGGATTCACACTGATTCTACAATGGCAAGAGAATAGTTTTAACACAAGTACTCATTTGGGATATGCAATAAAAACAGACTTACATTGCATGCCTTTAAATTACAATTTATACCTTTATTATAAAGATTGTCATCATGTTATCAAGTTAAACCCAATTGAATATCAATATTTTTATTACCCAATCTTACTATTTTTTATCCATCTGTTCTAGTTTATATGTTTTAACGATTAAAAAATCCAAGTTTAATTTCTACTTTAAAATATTCAATCTAATATGTTGCAGTACAAGATCTTGAAAGTCGGACCTAATAGTTTTTACAGCATAGAATAGAATCTGTTTGATTTCATAAATTTGTAAGTCAAATATACAACTTTCTTTCAATTACTATGTAAAATAAAAATAAAATTAAAGTCATTAGATATGTTGTTTTTAACATGAGAGCAATATTTTATTATTTTATTATAATATAATTAAATTTCTTGAATAGATTTGTATATAAAATTTTGATCAAAATGTCAAATATGCAATCGAAATTATAATGCAAGAAACGATTATCTTCCATATATAAAGTCAAGAATGTGTTTTTTCACTATATAATATTATATATATATATATATATATATATATATATATATATACATATATATATATATATATATATATATATATATTTGAAATATTTTGCAATCCAATCGTCGAATTAAAAAAGGTTAAAATAGAAAAAGTCTTTATCCAATTAAACACATTTATATTATTAAATGTGTGCCATCATTCAGTAATAAAACCAGGAAAAACTAAGAAAAATTTATTAAACACTAAACTTGTGCAAAAGAACAACATAACTTGTTGCGACGACATTCTTAATAACGTGGATTTTCGAAGGCAACTCAACGGTTGACCTATCTATGTTTGATGAATTTGTTAGAATAACTAAATGCTTATAACTTTTTATATTTGCAGCAATACCGAGTAGGGGCTATATTTACATATAGTTATTTATTGACCAGTATAGAATGAATTTCTTATATAAGTTTAATTAAAAATTAAATTAACCAATATTATTCCTATGTATATTTACAGCGAAATAACTATTTTTCTACATTAAAGTTTAATTTAATCATAAATGTATATTATTTGAACAAAAAAAAATATAAAAGGTATATATGTAATTCCATTACAAAAATGTTCCTAAAGTGTTTAATAAATTATTTTTTTTGTATTTTTCCTGGTTTCATAATGATGACACACATTAAGTTTTATAGTGGAGAGTGGATTAATATTTGCTCTCTTTTATTAAAATGTTTTTACACTTGACATGATTCATAAAGCAAATAACAATTATAATATCCAATTTTTTTGATATGTTAGGCATTATTTTTCAAATCAAACTAATCATAAGTAATCAGTTATTATATACTTATATACACACATATTTATTCATATATATACATATATATATATATATATATATATATATATATATATATATATATGAATATATATATATATATAATTTTTTTTACAAATAGTGCCACTAAGCATTACTAATTTTATTGTGAAATAGAAGATATTAGACATTGTAATAATATTAGAATTACTGTTGTGTATATTAGAGAGTATTAATTAGATTTGAATATAGACCTAATAGATTCGAAGATTTTCTCGAATTATAATATCTACAATATTAAACACAATATGATATTTTATATAATTGTATATCATTGTTCAAATTTTTATGGTGTATTATTGTAAACCAACGTGGCTCAATAAAATTAATGAGATTTTATGCAATATTTACCAAACGTAAAATAAATAATATATTAATTTTATGTGTGATTATTTAATGTTTCAATCAGGCTCAGCATGCCCAAAGGCCCATCAGTGCACTTCTTTAATCTATAACTATAATTATATGATATTTAATTTATTTCTGATAACTGTTAGTAATCAATAAAAAGCACATCTCATTGAAAGGCAGCATAGGTAAATATTTCTGAAATAATAGTTTACATATGAGCAAATATTAAATATGTGAAAACTTATCTATCACAATTACCACCCAATTTAATTCGCTCTATAAAATTAATATGTACATGTACATTAAAACATTGATTACACAGGTCCACGTGCCGGATTAGGCTTCCGTCGCCTTAGGCCCTATCTGATCAGGCGCTTTTTTTAAAAGTCAGAATTTTACTTTTTTATTTAAACAAATATTTTTAACTTCCCGTGGCGCAAGTTATAGTAATCGCAAATAAATTTTTCTATATATCTTTACGTTTCAAAGGTTTCTGAATATTTTGGCATACCTTAGAAAAAATGGATGTATGTGTGTGTGGGCGTGTGTGCGTGTGTGCGTGTGCGGTTATCAATTTCGGGATCGACGATTTCGGGAACACCGATCAACCGATTTGAATAATTCTAAAAACCTTCGATTCGTATTGATAAGGAGACGTGCTGATTAGTTTTTAGGTATAGCCGTTTCGAAGATACGGGGCAAAAATAGTCAAAAATTTTTATTCAGTTTTTGAGAAACGGATTATACGATTAAATTAATTCAAAAAACATTTTGCTTAAGTAGACGGTGTGCAAAAAATGCTTTTACAGAATATTTTGTAATTTTAAAAATAAAAAAAAATCAAATTTTCGAAAATTGTCATTTTCATAAAAAACTAAATTTTGATTTTTTTTAAAATATCAAAATTAAATAAAAATGTTTCTTACAAACATTTGAGAATATTTCGAAATTTTCAAAAAATCAAGTTATTGCAAAAAATTCCAAACTTCTATAAAAATTCAAAATTTTGAAAAAATTTCTAAATTATCAAAAAATTCTAATTTAAAAAGCGCTTCCAAGTTTACAGTATGTATTTATAATGAATTTTCTATTTGAAATTATTCAAAATAATTATTGTTTATTTTCATACGGAAAGTTCCAGCAATTTGCCTTAAGGCACGATGTCATGCGCTAGTTATATCAAATTACTTAAATTATAGTATAGTTATACGACTTATTCGAATCGCAAAGGAATCATTTTGCATAAATTCACGTTTCAATAAGGTCAACATTTTGGCGTATATGTTCTAATTAGTTTTTGGCTTTTCGAAGATAAGGAGAAAAAAGTGCATAAATGGCAATTTATTTTTGAGTTGGATTTCCGAATATTTCTAAAATCGTTTTTGAATTGACTAATTTTGGTAAGGCAGCTTCAGCGGTTTTATAGATCTAAAAAAAAAGGAAATTAAGGGTGCGTGGTATTGTACTGCCTGCAGGCAAATTGCTGGATTTTTTCTATCGAATCAATAAATATTGATCAATGATTAATAACAAATATTTTAATATTTTCGAAGAAATAGTTATAATTACTATATATTTTTTCGTTCATATAATATACAGTGGTGATCTTATCAGTCAACCCACTTAAAAATGTTTACATTAAGAAGAAATGCTAAATGAATCCATCTGAGAGGATATATTTTTTCGAGTAGTATAACGCATATGAAATATATATATATATATATATATATATATATATATATATATATATATATACAGGGTGGCTGATATGTATTGCTATAAACTTTGTCATTTTCATTTTAAATTTCATTGTTCAAAAGCAAAAATGTCAGAAATAACATCAAATTTTAGAATCAGTTTATATTTGTTCTAATTGACCACCTTTGGCACGAATTATGGCCTTCAAGCGGCTGAAAAACCATAACACGCTGCACGAAAGTGGCTCTGGGGTATTTTGGCCCATTCCCGGCGAGGCGCCTTCTTGGGATGATCGACACTTTGGTATTTTTTAGTGCGAACCTTACTGTTCAAAATGTCCAAGACACAAAAGTCCAGCGAATTTAGATACAGAGATTTTGGTGGCTATTGTGCGATAGAAATGAAGCGAAAAACTTCTTTTATAAGCCATTTTTGGTAGACGCGTGCTGAGTTTGATGGTGCTGAGTCCTGTTGGAAGGTCCATGGTCTGCGATCGAAATTTTTGTCTACCCAGGACTTCAATACTGCCTTTAAGACATATTCCCGATAATTTCGGCAATTATTTTGATCCCACGGTCGATGAATAAGAGCGGAATGTCACCATCGGCCGTTACGATGGTTCACACCATTACCGTCGGCGGCGCTTGAGTTCTGGTAGCCAATCGAAGGTGTTTTGTGCATCGATGAGCTCTTGCACTTTTTGGAACTTCAATGGCTTTAGTCCAAGCTCATTTTTCAATATGTGTTGCATCCGTTTTTGCGATATGTTCAGCTCACGGGCCATTTTTTTACCACTGCGACACGAATTTCGATTGATTTTTGCCTATACTTTTTGGATCATTTCTGGGGTTGTTAGTGTTTTTTTTCGTCCACTTTTTGGACGCGGTGCAACACTGAGTGTATCACCGTTACGAGATATGGTACGAGAAACAAAATATTTGTTCGCATTTAAATACTGGAGGGCTCGAAATATAGCCACCTAAGGTTTTTCAGCCAAGTATGAAGCAATCGCACTATCACGCTTGACTTCCACAACGAATAACTTTTTTACTGAATGCAATAGATCAAAATGCTCTTGTACGCTTCTAAACAATTAAATGAACAATCACTGGAATAAATCTGTCATCTGTCTGACGAGCGGTTTAGACATAATAGCGGTCTGAAATTGGTTGCAATACATATCAGCCACCCTGTATATATATAAATACTAGCAAACCCGACGAACTCCGTTTCGCCACCAGATGGTTTCGTGAGAAAGATGAAGAAATTTTATGTTTGCTTTATATTTGAAAAGGAAAAAAATGATTTCATTACGCTTACAAAAATGAAGTGTTTTTAGTTGAACTTCTATAAGTATAGCAGTAGAAAGTGAATCCGCAAGTTATCAGTTGCATTGAAGTGCTCTTTGGTAATACACATTTTTTGTTTTTTGGTCTGACGTTAACACAAACAAAGCGGATGATTTCACAACTCGTGAACAGGCAACGTATAACTGCCCATGTGAAAAACAATGATTTTCTAAATTTATCCCGCGAACATTAAGCGATTGGCCTTGTGATTGTTAATTGTCATTGCGAACGTAAGGCGAACTGGAAATTGCAAATGTTTGAAGTCAAACCAAAGACCAGTCGGAATCATTGGTATTTCACCAAATCGCCAGCAATTTTTGATTGAATGGTGAATTTCGTGCGTGTACATCATTATTCTCTGCGGCAAGCATTGCTCGTCAACCTAACCAAGCATAATTCTGATAATTTCACTAACGTCATGACTCGAATTTTTAATTACGGTGCGTAAAGTTCCAGCAATTTGCATTAAGCCACGATGTCATGCACCACTAATTTTCTTGGCTATAAACCTTGCGGAGCCCGTGACCTTTGCAACGAATGCAAAATTGTCGAAATCGTGCATTCTGGAGTTATATCGTCAGGAAGGAAAACCTGACTTTGTTTATATATATGTAGATAATCTAATTGAAATTATTTAAAACAATTATTGATTATTTCCATTACTCGAATTCCTAATTACGGTGCGTGAAGTTCCAGCAATTTGCATTAAGGCACGATGCCATGCACCACTAATTTCTTATTATATATCTACATACTTATATATATATAAATAAGTCGAGTTTTCCTTCCTTATATATATATATATATATATCAAAAAAATCCTCAATATATATATATATATGTATTGGTGTATATATATATGTATAGTAATATATAAATATATATATATATATATATATATATATGTATTGGTGACGTACAATTATTATTTACATGCGTCGATAATAATATAGTCGCCATCTCGGGGTTGCAATATGTCAACTGATTTACTCCCTTCTGATCTAGTCTATCTGTCTCTTTCCATCCAAAACTTTGGCCTAGGTTTCCAATATGAGATCAGTTCTATTCTAGTGCGTTCGTTTACAGTTTGGGTTCTATCCAGTTTGGGTATAGTGCGTTTCCAGTTCCGTGTTCAATTCGCTTCCAGTGCGTTATCACTATGCTTTCAGTTTGCTCTCCTTCTTTGGTCGAGATTAGAAGTTTTTTGTTAAGTTTCCTTTTAACGTTTAAAGTGAGGTCATTTTTTAGTTTGTTATTATAAGAGAAAAAAAAATTTAGTTCAGTTCAGTAGTCCATATTCAAGAATACTAGCGATTCCGTGGGGTCTGATTATCAAATCAAGGCAACATCATTCATTCATAGACATTTTTGTTGACTGATTATTTTTATTCTTTGAATGTTTAATTACGGTACGGGAAGTTTCAGCAATTTGCCATAAGGCACGATGCCATCATGCGCCCCACTAGCTTAACCTTGTTTTTTATCTAGAACTAAAGATAATTTATTATGCAGTATCTGTAATAGGGTATTAATACTGTGGGAGTTTGGCAGATCGCGTCAAAATGAAGTCAGCGACGTGATAAATAAAAATGATTGATGAGTTTTGTTTTCCAAATCATTTTGGTCTGTCATCAGATATATTTTTACAAATGAATTTATAAAATTCATTACTGAAATAAGAAGTTAATTTCATTAATTTCCGAAAATACCGAAAACTAGTGGTGTATGGCATCGTGCCTTAAGGCAAATTGCTGGAACTTCCCGTACCGTAACTAAATGTTCGTGGAATATTAATTAAATTAAATAGATTATTATAAATACTGTAACAATATAATATTTATAAGAATTATATAAACTGAATAAGAAAGTCAAAAAAATATTTATTTAAAGTATATAAGTGAGCTTTAAAACTTTAGCCAGAATTAAAATTGAAATCCGAATTATTTTTGATACCAAAAAAAAAAATGAAATAAGCAGAAAGTTTTTTGAATCATTTAATTCGGATGCTATTTTCTCTCAAAAACTGCTATTTTTTGTATATTTAGCTCTGTTTCTTCGAAATGTCCGGGCCTGCCTTTGCCAAAATCGAATAGCCATTTCTCTCAATCATTACTAATTGAATGTTTTTTAGATCATTCTAATTGGATGCTCCGTTCTCTCAAAAACTCGATTTCAATTTTCTGCTCTCTTTATTCTTCATCTCCGTAACGGCTGGACCTGCTTTTGCCAAAAACTAATCAGCACATCTCTCTATCAATAGGAATCGAATGTTTTTTGAACCATTCAAATCGGTTGATACGTGCGCCCAAAAACATGAACGAAAAAATGCGGTCATACAAAACACGCACACACACATCCATTATGCTAAAATGTTCAGAAACCTTCCAAACGTCGAGAAATGCAAAAGGTTTCATTTTAGATTTTCGGCCCATTACTATAACTATTACGGGAAGTTAAAAATATTCTATTGTATGTATACATACGTACCTAATGATGCTATGTATGTATGTATGTATACATATCTGCAATATTTTTAAAAAAATCAAGAAAATAACATTAATTTGTTTCATTATATGTATTACTAGTGCATTTGGAATTCAAATATGATGTTTACATACTTGGACATTATTTGTATTCATACGTCTACGCACAAATTTAAATAGAATTCAATCACAAACTTTTGATCAGTATTTTGTTCAGAACTTTCAACGTTTATAATTTATCTGAGATTCGCCGAAAATTGAAGTTGCCCTTTTTATTGTGTCTCTGTTTTGATAATCTGAAAAATGTTCACACAATGTATCAATTACTAATTCACTAATAGCTAAAATTTTATTTACAATTAATTATTTTTTTAAATAATTAACATTTTTGAAATATGTCCTGAAACCTACCGACATTGAAGTATTGATTACTGTGATCTAGGTTTAAACTCCGCGCATATTGGTGCTGCCAGGCACCTGTGCCAATTAAACCTGCTGCAAAAATTATCGCTTTCAGAAGCAATAACAAAAGCAAGGTTGTTAAGTTCAAGCTCACTATCTAAAGTGGAAATAAAAAAAACATAAATAGAAAAACATTGAGCAGAAGTACAGTCAACCCTCGGTTAACGCGGCAAGTGTGTGCCGTGCAGTATGGAGACCGTGCTATAAAAAACTCGTATTTAGCATACAATTCAGGCTAATTTGTAGTGCGTTCTATGCAGGGCCGGTCCTGGGGTCTTCAGCGCCCGCATGCAATTTTATCATATTCAGTTTATCATTAAAATTATAAGAATATTTACGTTATTTTTTTTTTTGAAATACTTTTTTATAACTCTGGATTTAGTACACAAAAAATTAGATATATAATATAAAAGCACATTGATTTTAAATTTATTTAAAATATCGTGGCGATTCGCGGGTTCTTCATAATCACTACCAAACTACTTCTAAATTCTTATTTTTAATCCAAACTTTTTAGGACATCCAAACATTTCAGTATGTTTATCATTGCTTGAAATAATATTTTTGAAAAATTTTACTTATTTATTTTGGAGATTTTATGCGATTTATTGTATTAAACAAATCATGGTGTTTCATGTTGGATTATTTTATTTTGATTTTTCATTATTTAAATTATCCAAAATTGCAGCTTAAATATTGCTCAAAAATTAATGAAAAATGCAAAGAAATTATGTTTCTTGAATTATATTTTGAATTGAAGTTCCTAGAATCGCTCATAGGTTGCACAAGGAACTTATGGGTTGTTGAACAAAACCGTGTAATAGGAAGTCCGTGTAATCGCAGTGATGTCAGACTTTTAGCTCCGCGTAGTATGGGAACCGTGTACCCAAAGTGCCGCGTTAACAGAGGGTTGACTGTATATCAAATTTATAAAATAGGGCGGAGCGCGTAAAAAAGTCCACCACCGATATCTGAAAAAAACTAAAGATAGGATTTTAAACTAGAGCAAATAAAATGTTAAACCATCGCCTTAATTCTTACGACAATGCTATCGGGATATAAACGGCAATGTTCGAAAATTCATAACAAAAATATTTTCTTTTGTTGTTAGTTTTTTTGATTTTGAGCTCCGTTTAGCTTACGAGACTCTAATATAATATTGTTAATTTTAATTTAGTTTCAAAATAAAAAATAGTAAATGAAAAAGTATATTAAGTTAAAAAAAGCAATTTTGCAAGAGATATGTTAAATAAATATTCATTCCAACTCTTCTGCTGATTTTTCTGATGTAATGCCATATCAAAGCTATATATAATTTACATTGGTTAAATAATGTAGCTATTATTTCGTAAAATCCCTTGAAAATTAAAAATAGACATTAGACCTGTTTGGCCTGTGGTCGTTTCATCTTATTCCGCTTATGGAGTAAAAAGAACCAGGTTACATATTTTTGAAAAACAGCAAAATTAATATATGTATTTCTAAAATAATGAATTAGTCGGGATTATTACTGATTATAGTAAGAAAGTTGTTTCTTTCGTATGTTATTTGTTGTGATATTATTGGTTTGGTTTTAACAATATTATTGCTCAAAGTAAAATTGTACTTTTGTACTCCGCCCTACTCTAAACGTTTATATATACTATCAACCCCCCGTTAACACGGCATTTTAGGTACACGGACTTCCTATTAGACGGTTTTGCTCAACTGCTCATAAGTTCCTTGTGCAACCTATGAGTGATTCTAGGAACTTGATATCAAAAGAGTATTAATGTAAGTTTTGTTATCGACTTTTATCTTTCAGACATGCCTAATTATATAATAGCTGCCCAAGAACACGTTTGAGCTGACTATTGCGTTGCGCCAATTTTTGAATAAAGTTTCAATGTCATACATGTCATTTCGTCCGTATTTACTCCTACTTCAAGTTGTATTCCTTGGTCTCCATACAGCACGATAAAAATGGTACGATTTGCACTAACTCTGAGTCTTTCCTAGCGCGGTTCCCATACTGAACTATATAAGGTTCCATAGCCTGAATTGTATGTTAAATACGAGTTTTTTATAGCACGGTCCCCATACTGCACGGCACGCACTTGCCGCGTTAACCGAGGGTTGACTGTAAATCAATTAACATCACTATCATTGAATATAGTTCTATTAAATTCTAAAACCTGAGTATTTCCAGTAGATCTGGCGATGACCTCTTTAAAAAATTTGGCCATTATTTGTGCGCCAGGGCTCCAAGTATCTTCATCGAACAAACTATAAGTATTCAGTGATCTCTGTACCGTCTTGTTTTGTAACGCAGCGCATCCACCAATAATTGACAGCGTGATCACAATTATCGTAGTTGAAGTAGAATAAATCATTTTATCTAAATATTACATTTTTTTTAGAAATTTGTAAGCAAATTTTAATAATATATTACATAAGCTGTATATGCAGAATTGAGTAAACCATAAATTAGGGAAGTATAATGGCGAAATCAGAAAATTGAAATAACAGTCACATTAAAAAAATTATGTTGTTAGTAGATTTTGTCGTTTCTCACATAATATTTAACCCTTTTCACTCGCGAGTTGCGAGAATTATAATGCATCCGAGTGGAAAGGGTTAAATCACCGTAGGATACATCTTTTCCACGATATCGGGAGCGCTGATTGATTTGAATGATTCAAAAAACGTTGAAGGAGATATGTTGCACGTGTTGTTTAGTTTTTGGCAAAGGCAAATCCATCCGTTTCAAAGATACTGGGCAAGAAATGAGAGAACAGAGCGTCCGATTTAATTGATTTAAACAAATATTAACTTCACGTAGGGTAGTTATAGTAATGGGCAGTTTCTGAACATTTTGGCATACCTCAGAAAAAATGGATGTGTGTGTGTGTGTGTTTTGTGTGTCCGCATTCTTTTGTTCACGTTTTCAGGCGCACGGATCAACCTATTTGAATGGTTCAAAAAACATTAGATTCCAATTGATAGAGAGATGTGCTGATTAGTTATTAGCAAAGGTAGTTTCCAGCCGTTTTGGAGATACCAAGCTACAAGTGCAAAAAATGGCAGTTTTTGAGAGAACTAAGCATCCGATTTGAAGGATCTGAACATTTTTCTGCTTGTTTGGACAAAATAATTGCTTTTGGGGAAAAAATATTTGAAAATTTTTTTTCAGTTTATTTTTTTAAATTTTTTTTTTGTATTTCGAAAATAATTTAGATTTTAATTTCAATTCTTGCTAAAGTTCTAAACACATTTATATACTTTAAATAAAAAAAAATAACTTTGCAATTCAGTTTTTATAATTCTTATGTATATTAGACAATTTGCCTTAAGGCACAATGCCATTTACCAATAAATATTAATGAAATGAATATCAAATATCCTGGAAGGCATATCCAGCCGTTTTAGAGATCCAATAAAAAAGTAAACTGGGACTTTGCGTACCAAACATTTTTTTTCTTAAAAGATTGAATTTTTTCATAAAACTGAAAATTTGATTTTCAAGAAATTTGAAATTCTTGAAAAAAACTTTTCTGAAAAAAAAGAATTTATTTTGTATTTTGAAGTAAATTGGAAATTTTGAACTTTAGCTGCGTCGAGGCAAAATATCGAAGCGCGTAAGAGCCGTCTTGCAGTCTAACGGATATACAATGTGACGGAAACCATAGAAATGTAAACAAAATTTATACTTAATATTAAAATCTGTGATAAATGGATGTGTAATGATCACATAATTTTTGACCGCCAAAAGACATTTTTTTTACTGTTTTTACTTGATCTCCAAAACCTCCACACCTGCCTTACCAAAAATGTATTTATAAGTAAAATGTTTATTAAATTATTGAAATCGGACGCTCCGTTCTTTCAAAAACTGAATTACCATTTTTGCCCTATATCTTTGGAACGTCTTTGTCAATTTTTTGGACCTGCTTTGTCAATCGAATGTTTTTTGAATTATTCAAATCGGTTGATCCATGCGCCTGAAAACGTGGACAAAAAATGCGGAAATACAAAACACACACACACATATACACATCCATTTTTTCTGAGGTATGCCAAAATTTTCAGAAACCTTCAAAACGTGGAGAAATGCAAAAAAATTCATTTTCTTTTTTCGGCCAATCATTATAACTACCCTACGAAAAGTTAATAAATAATATTTAATGAAGAAATTGATATTATAAAAAATATTATAACTGTGTAATAAACATTTTATTTATGTTTTTTACCTAATTATTTGTTTTTTGAAGTATTTTACCTTGTTTTCTCTTAGCTAACACATAAAAATCTTTTGCTCAACCTTCTATAAACTATCACACTTTATAAGTCTAAAATATTAATTTATCTACAGAAGAAGCACATATATATACACTTTTTGTCACAGGTTAAAATATAACGAAGAAACGTCTTGTACGATGCAGTATTTCTTATATATTGACTAGTTTTTTTTCTGAAAAATGCACTTGTGCAATCTACCCCCTCCATATATATATATATATATATATATATATATATATATATATATACAAAGATATGCGCGCCTATATATTTACGGATAGGCGCTTTACCTGAATTCTGCGTTTACCTGCCATTATCTGTAATTTTATTGTTTATGAAACCTTTCAAAAGTGGTAGAAAAGTTGTTTTCTAAGTAAATGCGTGCAATTTTGTGCTTTTAAGAACAGTCGTGGATACATAAATTGTTAAAAAAATGTATATTATTTGTATTGATTCAGATTCAGAAAGAAAGCGCGACTAAAAATATGTTAAAACCAGTGGGGTGCATGGTATCGTGCCTTAAGGCAATTTGCTGGAACTTTCCGTACCGTAATTAAAAAATTTGGTACGGAACCCAAAAAAATTACACAAAATGTGTACACATTATGAAAATCTCTATAAAATATCTGATAATTTGATGTGCATAAGTCCAATAAACATTTTTAACCGCCAAATGACATTGTTTTAACTTATTTTTATTGACAGTCCATAACCGCTGGACCTACATTCCCAAAAATTTAATCAGTTCTTCATCTTGCCAATACAAGTAAAATGTTTTCTGAATTATGCAAATCGGACGCTCCATTCTCTTAAAAACTGAGATACCGTTTTTGGCACGTTTTGAATCGAATGTTTATTGAATTATTTTGAATCGGTTGATCGGTGTTCCCGAAATCGTCGACGAAAATTTGTATCCGCACACAGACACACACGCACACACACACATACACACATACATCCATTTTTTCTAAGGTATGCCAAAATATACAGAAACCTTTAAAACGTAAAAATACATAAAAATTTTCATTTTCGATTTTTTTACGATTACTATAACTTACCCTACGGGAAGCTAACTAGTGGGGTGCCTAGATAAATAAGCATAAATAGATCGCTATCTCGGGCGATTTGACGTTACACTCATTTTAATTTACGAATAGATCACAACATGGCAGCACATGTACATACAGTATGTAAATTAACCCCTGGTATTACTTCTACATTAGTACATATAATCAATATAGCCAAAAAATCTGAAAAAATTCAATATTTGAAATAAGAACAAAACATATGAAATACAAAATATATTTTCAAATTTATCACAGACATATTTTTGAAGAATTATAAGCTAAACAGAAATAACTGACTACTATTAATCAAAGTATATTACAGACATATTTTTAAAGTACTACAAATTGAAGAGAAATAACTTATTCATATTAATTACTTAATGACTAATAATAATATATTAAAAACTTAAAAACTAAGAAGTAAAAAGCGCAGGAGTATTGACGATGGAATGACAAATTTAGAAGGAATGACAAGTAATGCAATAATTTAAAAGGATAAAAAGAACAGCACATTTTAAAAAAAGAATGAATACTTCCCAAACAAAATAATCCTAAAAACAAAATATATATATATATTGATATCCAAATTGAGATAAAACTAAATTCCTAGGATTAAAATTCATTTACTAGACATTCTTGTTTGTTATTTCTCCATTTAATAGTTATTTTGCTATCTAATCAATCATTAATAAAGTTATATTTGACGAAATCTTTGAATAGTTTCTGTATAAGTGTTTTTTTAAACGTAAGTGACCAAAACCCTGAACTACTTTTAATTTATACCAATTGTAGCTCAAACCTATCTATCGTTTTAATCCAGTTTTTATTGCAAGGAGGTTTATTTAAAACTATAACTAAACCCTTGCGCTTTATAAACTGTCTGATCTTTGAGTATGCTCTCTTAATTGAGACAATATCAAAATTCTTGCCCTTACATTTTAAGTTTGCGGAATATTTGAAAACTTCTCAGAACATTGTATACTCTGTTGGAATTTATCCTTTAAATTATTGCATTGTTTGTTAATCCTTTTTAATCCCGAAACAAAATTTGATGTATCATATATCTTCTGGATGTTAAGGCACTCCTACGCCTTATGACTGCATTCTGAGGCAATTTGCAGCTACCACCAAGGACTTCTATTGAATATATTGTTATCATATTAATTGAAGATATTGTTATTATCATATTAATTATTTTTGCTGCAATTATTATGAAAAAATACCTTTGCGGAAAACTGGAGTCAGAATAGGTGACTTTTAACCTGCACTTGACAATCTCAGGGTTGCTGCAAAAATTGAGAAATTGTAAAAATTTTCAATTTCGATTTTTGGACTTACAATAACATTTAAAAGTAATATTATTTTATATTTTAGTAATCTTATATAAAAAAATCGAGCTCTCGATCAAATGATTCGGTAAAACTCGAAAACGGCTAAACCGATATGGCCAATCTTGAAAAATTCGTGCCAATCCAGAGATGGTCGGAAAGGTGAGATATTATTTTAAAATCGCGTAGAAACTTTACATTTTTAATTTGAAATTTTTTGTAGAAGCGTAATTTAAATAAAGCAATGGACTGTGGCTAACGTGAAATGTCAAAAGTTTTTGACAGATGATGTTCAATTACGTTTAATAGGATGTTATACGTGAATATTATTTAATTATGATTAAATTGTAGTAAGTAGTTTTGTTTGTAGTTTTATTTATATACAAAAACGTTATTAAACGGATTGCAAGTGTTACTAGAAACTCAAAATATTAACTTTTTTTAAATGTTAATATGAAAATGCACTTTTTGGCATATTTTTTTCATACACGGTGCTCTGAGAGATCTCATTTGTATAATTATATACTCATTGGTATTGATAAAACATTTTCTAGGTTATGTTATTTTTTAACTTCCCGTAGGGTAAGTTATTGTAATCGTCCAAAAATCGAAATCAAAAATTTTTACATTTCTCGACGTTTTGAAGGTTTCTGAACATTTTGGCATACTTCAGAAAAAATGGATGTGTGTGTGTGTGTGTGTGTGTGTTTTGTATGTCCGCTTTTTTTCGTCCACGTTTTCGGGCGCACGGATCAACCGATTTGAATGGTTTAAAAAACATTCCCATTGATAGGGAGATGTGCTGATTAGTTTTTGGCAAAGGCAGGTCCAGCCGTTACGGAGATATGGAGCAAAGAGTGCAGAAAATAGAAAGCGAGTTTTTGAGAGAACGGATCAACCGATTTGAATGGTTTAAAAAACATTCGATTCCTATTGATAGGGAGATGTGCTGGTTAGTTTTTGGCAAAGGTAGGCCCATCGGTTCCGGAAATACAGAGCTAAATGTTAAAAAAATGGCAGTTTTTAAGAGAACTAAGTGTCCGATTTAAATGACTTAAAGAATTTTCTGCTTGTTTCAACAAAATAATTGATTTTGGAAAAAAAAAATTTTTGTTTCTAATTTTTTTTTCAAAAAATTTTTTTGTAATTTTGGATTAAAAATTCAAAAAATCACCCAAGCTAAGCACAGTCTAAGCGCCACTCTGGTACAAATGTTTACCCAAGTGCGTTTAGACTGTTTATGTACTGGGGAACTTTTCCAATTTTGTGAAAATTATTGAAAAATGTGAAAATGCCGCCAAGCTAAGCACAGTATAAGTGAAAATTTCGCACAGAATTATTTGCAAATGCGTTTAGACTGTGACTATGGGAGCACTTTTTCAATTTTGTGGAAATTTGGCAACTATTTTTTTTTTTGAAATTTGATTCGAAATGAAATGACGATTGTTAATGTTCTGGAGATGATAAATTGATTTATTTATAATTAACTTTCAGTAGGGTAAGTTATAGTAATCGCACCAAAATCAAAAATGAAAATTTTTATATATCTTTACGTTTCAAAGGTTTCTGAATATATTGGCATACCTTAGAGAAAATTGATGTATGTGTGTGTGTGTGCGTGCATTTGTGTGTGTTCAGATACAAATTTTCGTCGACGATTTCGGGAACCGGGATGAAGCAATTTGAATAATTCAAAAAATATTCGATTCGTATTGATAAGGAGACGTGCTGATTAGTTTTTGTGAAAGGCAGGTCCGTATTTGTATAACTCAAAAAACATTTTACTTGCATTATCATGATGAAGATTTGATCAAAATTTCATGAAAATAGGTCTAGCGGTTTCGGAGATCTAGTAAAAAAAGTAAAAAAATAATAACATTTGGCGGTCAACAATAATCATTAGACATTAGACATATGCACATCAAATTATCAGATATTTTATAGAGATTTTAACAATAAGTATACATTTTGTTAACATTCCTATGGGTTCCGTACCAATGCTTATGCGTTAGACAGCGACGCGGCGCTTACGCACTTCGATATTTAGTCTCTATGCATTAAAGCAGTACGATTGCTTTGAAAAAAAGTTCAGAATTTCCAAAATATTTCAAAATAAATTTTTCAACAAAAAGTAAGTTTTTGTCAAAAATTTATATAGTTCCTCAAAAATCTATTTTTTCAGAGTAAATTTTTTTCAAAAATGTTAATCTTTTCAAAAAAAATAATAATTTTTGGTACGGGAAGTTCCAGCAATTTGCCTTAAGGCACGATGCCATGCGCTCCACTAGTTATTTATGTTATTTAAATTCAGAACCTAAATTTGGTATCGATCAAATGGACATTTTGTCAAATAACATTTTTCCAGTTATAATTTCCCAGAATTTATCGCAGAAAAGATAGTAATATATGAAGGTCCGGAGTTAAACAGGTCCACCATCAATGTGTCAAAAATCAGTAAAGTTAAGCATTGTTTAACAACAATATTTGAAAGTAGAGGAAAAAAGATGTATAACCAGGTAAAACCTTGATTTGAAAACGGTAATTTTTGAAATGGGAGAGATAAACGGTAATCTTTGAAAATCCATAATAAAAGAATTTTCTTCCGTTGGTAGTTTTTAAGCATTAGTTAAAAATGTAATTATTTTGTAAAATACCTTTAAAATTATAATAAGGATATAAACCTTTTTGCCACCTGCCCGTTTCAA